GTGCAATGTCTTCAGCGGTCTGCTTCAGAACGTCGGATGGCCTGTGGTGGTTTCCGTTGTCAACTTCTGCCTGAAAGAATGTTAAAGTTTTTGTAATCACTTAGGCCTTCACGCTGGTATTCGGCCTTAGGACAGGGTCTGAAATAGGACTGAAAGGCATTGTTATAGATACATTTAGGGTGGCGTAAGTTAGACAGGGATTCCCTGGTGCTGGTCCCCTTTGGTGCAATGCCCTTGGCTAGCTGCTTCAGAGCGTCGGGTGGCCTTTGGTGGGTTCCGCTGTCTACTTCCACCTGAAAATATACTAGTTTAAGATTTGTGTTACAAGCATGCAATTTCTCACATGTAGATTTTACGTCTTATTTTATTCTCCCTTACCTGATCTAAAATAATGCTGCCAGGCGAGGGGACATTTGCCTATCCGACTGACATGTACATGATTTACAAGGCTTTACCCAATTATGTACATCCATACCCGACACAATAACAGGCGACATATTGTAAGCAAACAGGTGAAGGTTTGTGTCTTACCAAGGTCAGAGTTCAGTTTGTGAGATTTTATTGTTGCCGTGGCAAGGGTGATGTTGAAGGCCCTGTTCTCATCTTCTTCAGATTTGCTAGCGCCATCTTTCTTGGCTTCCATGTTTTCCTGCTCTAATCTCTTGGCGCTGAGTTCCCGCTCTCTGGACTCTGCCTGGTGGCGCAATCGATTGATGAGGCTCTGTAGGGACTGTCCGCACAGAATCTCGATGGTTCCGTCTGCGTCGTTGGCTGTGGACGAATACACCAGACGCTACACAACACAGCTGGTAAAAGGTAACAATTGGTGCCTGATTACAGACACTACACAACACAGATGGTAAAAGGCAACAATTGTTGCCTGACTGCAGACTCTACACAACACAGCTGGTAAAAGCCAACAGTTGTCCATTGAGAGACTCTACACAACACAGAGGACTGGAGACAACATTTGAAATGTATTGTCCGATCAGAGACTCCACACAACACAAATGGTTAAGGCAATAAATGTTGTCTCATTAGAGACTACACAACACAGATAACTAGAGATAAGATTTGTTGTCTGCCCAGAGACCGTACACAACATTGATGACAAGAGGCAACATTTATTCTCTGATTAAACAGGAACAATGCAAGTGGTTATAATATAAGAGCAAAACAACAATCAATTTTCCCGTGGGCATAGGATGGTTATGTAGATTAGAGAAACAAATACCGCTCCTCGCAGCACTGTGGGCTAGTAGATGTTAAGGCAGTGCTAAACATTGTAATCTTCTCAGGGATAACAATTTCACAAGCCATTACAAATTAGCGTTTTTTTCAGTCAAGAGTGGGGAGAAAAAGAATCAACAGCAAACAAAAGTTACAAGTGAAAGCTGTCTGCCCTAAAACCAACATCATCATGTGGTCAGTCTTCAAATATCTAGGTGCCTCTGTTATGAGGTTTTCAAGGATGATGAACAGATACATGGCAGGAACGAGATAACCAAGACAGGAGCCAGACAAGATACATGGCAGGAACGAGATAACCAAGACAGGAGCCAGACAAGATACATGGCAGGAACGAGATAACCAAGACAGGAGCCAGACAATTATGTGATACACCAACAGACGCATTAGTAGAGGTGTTCACGAGTAGCCGAACAAAAGAGCGGATACCTAAAGGAACTTGGACGAACAGATAGGATGTATCAGTAGAAAAAAAAACAAAAAACGTCAATGCTATGTTTCATATTATAAAAACAAAGATTAGAGAGAGGCGAGGAGATAAAAATGTCGACGAACAAACATACAGAGAGACAGAATGACCAAAGTGAAAGATAGGCACACTGATATAGTCAACGAGACACAGTCAAGCAGCACATACACACACATGCAAAAATATGTTTCCACATTGGTAAAAAGTTTGCTGCCTCAGAAGCAAGAAGGTGCCTTACCACATAGAAACAGGGCCTCCAGCAACCACACAGAAAAATAGATAATTACCCACAACCCCACAGAAACAGAAAGTACCCCAACCCACCCACCCCACAGAAACAGAAAGTACCTTTAGCCACTACATAAAAACAGAAAGTACCCACCCACCCCACAGAAACATAAAGTACCCCCACCCAACACACAGAAACAGAAAGTACCTTTACCCACCACATACAAATATAAAGTACCCCACCCAGCACACAGAAAAAGAAAGTAACTCACCCACCACATAAAAACAGAAAGTACCTTTACCCACTACATAAAAACAGAAAGTACCCACACCCAACACACAGAAACAGAAAGTACTTTTACCCACCACATGAAAACAGAAAGTACCCCACCCACACACAGAAACTTACGTTTGACCTGTAACCAGACAAAAGCCATGCCGTCTCCAGGGAGACTGGTCAAGGTGATGGTCACGTTACTAACCGGTCTGCTGTAGATGGATTTGAACCCATAGTAGCCTCGGTTGGCGCACTGGAAATCCCTCTGGTAGGTTATGGGGTCCTGGATCTTCAAACTGCGCCGACATTCGATGGGTCCAGTGTCGGCCCAGGCCAGCAGCACGTCAATCGTGTGGATCCCAATACCCTAGAGGCAAGTATACAAGTGATGTGTTGTTGAGACAGGACACAGACATAACGTGAATCCTAGCAGACATAACTAGAACTTAGCCAACGTAAAAGGACACTTGGCAGACATAACTAAGACACTTAGCAAACATAACATGACACTTGGCAGACAAAACTAGACACTTAGCCAACATAACATGACACTTGACAGACATAACTAGACACTTAGCCAACATAACTTGACACTTGACAGACATAACCAGACACTTAGCCAACATAACTAGACACTTAGCCAACATAACATGACACTTGTCAGACATAACTAGACACTTAGCCAACATAACATGACACTTGACAGACATAACCAGACACTTAGCCAACATAACATGACACTTGACAGACATAACTAGACACTTAGCCAACATAACATGACACTTGACAGACATAACCAGACACTTAGCCAACATAACTTGACTCTTGTCAGACATACCTAGACACTTAGCCAACATAACTTGACTCTTGTCAGACATACCTAGACACTTAGCCAACATAACTTGACTCTTGTCAGACATACCTAGACACTTAGCCAACATAACTTGACTCTTGTCAGACATACCTAGACACTTAGCCAACATAACATGACACTTGACAGACATAACCAGACACTTAGCCAATAACATGACATGACACTTGACAAACATAACTAGTCTGGTCTGGTCTGGTAGTCTTAGTTTCAGCGTCATAGCAAACGGGTCGCCCCATCTTTGCTCCGCTCCTGTGCCAGCGAAAAACACCCAGAATGTTTATCACAGTCCCTTGTGGAAAGATTGACAGACTGCTGTCTCAGCATATCTAGCATACACTCGCATTAACGCATATGGTAGCCATCCGAAGTGCTAACACAAACAGTCCAACATTATAAATGCAGTTCATCATTGATGATAGCAGAACTTGTCGCCAACAGATCAGCAGTTGCCCGCGCGATCAATTTTAATACGGGTTCCGCCAGCATTGCACGACCGGCATCGCGCCATTTTCTGAATCTACAATTCACACCACGTTGGTCACAGTCGAAAAAACATTGCAAATGCAATCCGCAGCTCACAGGGTCACGCCATGCATTCAACTCAGAAGCTGGGCGACGAAACTATATCCAGTCTACAAATGGAGCAAAAATACTTCGGCCACTGTCCGACAGAAGCAAAAAATTTGCCTCCGCTCCGAACAGCAACGCTGTCTAGCGTCCATTTTAACCGGAAGTCCTGCTAAGTCTAGACATAACTAGACACTTAGCCAAAATAACGTAACAATTGTGTTCAAAATCCACTGCACACCTTTTTTGACTATCAGAGTGGAATCTGCTCACCCTCTATACAGTCAACGGGTGTCACATGAACCCCGGCATAAACTGCAAGCGAGTGTTACAGTTATGACCTCGTTCATTGACCTAGGGGCATGACTCAAAATTACATAATCAGTTACCTAGAGTTATGACTCATATTTACACTTTCACTGACCTGTGTGTGTGTGTGTGTGTGTGTGTGTGTGTGTGTGTGTGTGTGTGTGTGTTCGCGTGATCAAAAGATACTGTACACATTCAGTGACCTTCAGGTGTGACCTTAAGTTACAGGATATATTGACTACTTTTGGCTCCTAGGGTTATCACCAGACACACACCTGTGGGTGTGAGGTTCTCACCAGACACTTACCTGTGGATGTGAGGTTCTCACCAGACACTGACACTCGTCCCCCTCGGGCCTGGGTCGGATGGATGCCGGGTACTCCTTGTTGGCCAGGTACAGAGACCTTCCCTTCTTGACGTCATCGGAGCAGAAGGTGGCGATGTCTGCAGCTATTGACAAACATAATCACGCGGTCAGAACAAGAAACAAAATACGCGGAAGCAAATTGTATCAATGATGAGAACAGCGGCGTCGCAGTGGCTTGCTGGTACAACCTCTCCTAGTCTAATTCACACAAGGGTGGGTCAAAAACCTGTGCCTACAGACAACAGGCTGATTTTGTGTGACTAAAAATATTCCAGATGCTGTCTTTTGCTTTTGCGTAGCTACAAAACGAGCTGATTTCAACACCAGCCCTAGACATGATCATAACTCACAACCCATGTGTGCCACTTGAACCATTTAGTGTATACATTCTTCAGCAAGTATTACCCCCCCCCCCCCTCCTTTTCCCCACGTTTATAAAGTCAGTCACAGTCTTTGATGCAATTTACTCAAATCAGAAACATATCGTAGACTTTTTGCCCAGAATTTTTCGGATGTGTGTGATAATGAGAAGACTGCTGCTGCTCCTCTGAGCGGTGAGCTTTGTTACGATAAAGCGGGCGTGGTGAAGGCTGTCTGTGATAGAGTCAACTGTGCGACACAACAGACAGAGCATCCATATCTCAGCTTGCAACGGGCACCGATAGTGTGGGCAATCTTCGTTAGCTACTGAAGGGTTGGACAGTGCGGTTGTATAAAGTCAAGTGTGTCCGTTTTTGAGTCATTCGTTGATTCATCACCATGCAAAACGCTATATGAGTCATTTATAGCCTTTGTAGCTCACTTGGCTAAACCTGACTGCACGGCGACCGGGTGACAATTCCTTGTGGTCCGTGTTCACGCCCAGGGGTAGGCAAAAAAGTCACATTTCTCCCAGATTCACAGTATCTATCATGGAATAAATTCCAAAAGGTTGCGATATCCATACTACCGAGGCAAAGAGTTAACAAATCGTGGTTTCTGGATATTTAAGAATCAAAATAGCCTTTGTAAGACCACAACATAAACAGTTTGTTGCTTTTTGCTTATCAAACCAAGCCCAGAGTTTGTTGACCGTTCTTTTGTTGTCTCACTGATACCAAGATGTTGTAGGTGTTTCGTGGTTTTGTTGTCTCACTGATACCAAGATGTTGTAGGTGTGTCGTGGTTTTGTTGTCTCACTGATACCAAGATGTTGTAGGTGTGTCGTGGTTTTGTTGTCTCACTGATACCAAGATGTTGTAGGTGTGTCGTGGTTTTGTTGTCTCACTGATACCAAGATGATAGGTTGTGGTTTTGTTGTGTCACTGTCGTGGTTTTGTTGTCTCACTGATACCAAGATGTTGTAGGTGTGTCGTGGTTTTGTTGTCTCACTGATACCAAGATGTAGTAGGTGTGTCGTGGTTTTGTTGTCTCACTGATACCAAGATGTAGTAGGTGTGTCGTGGTTTTGTTGTCTCACTGATACCAAGATGTAGTAGGTGTGTCGTGGTTTTGTTGTCTCACTGATACCAAGATGTAGTAGGTTGTGTCGTGGTGGTTTTGTTTTGTGTTGTTGTCTCACTGATACCAAGATGTAGTAGGTGTGTCGTCTCACTGATACCAAGATGTAGTAGGTGTGTCGTCTCACTGATACCAAGATGTAGTAGGTGTGTCGTCTCACTGATACCAAGATGTAGTAGGTGTGTCGTGGTTTTGTTGTCTCACTGATACCAAGATGTTGTAGGTGTGTCGTGGTTTTGTTGTCTCACTGATACCAAGATGTTGTAGGTTGTCGTGGTTTTGTGTCTGATACAAGATGTTGTAGGTGTGTCGTGGTTTTGTCTCACTGATACCAAGATGTTGTAGGGTGTGGTTTACTGATACCAACGTTGTAGCCCAGTGTCGTGGTTTTGTCGTCTCACTGATACCACGTTGTGTAGCCCAGTGTCGTGGTTTTGTTGTCTCACTGATACCACATTTCATTATAGCCCAGTGTCGTACTTTTTTTCAGTTCTCACTGTTTATTGATACAACCTTTCAGTAGTGCAAGTTGTAGCCCTGTGTCGTGGTTTTGTTGTCTCACTGATACCACCGTTGTAGTAGTGTCGTGTTTTGTTGTCTGAACAGATGTTAGCATTGTCTCTTACTGATACCACGTTGTGTAGCCCAGTGTCGTGGTTTGACTGATAACAGGCTGATAGCATTGTGTTGACTGAAACCAGTGTCGTGGTTTATTTTTCGTCTTACTGATACCAAGATGTAGTAGGTGTGTCGTCTCACTGATACCGTGTAGTAGGTTTCGGTCCTTCTCACTGATACCACGTTGTAGCCCAGTGTCGTGGTTTACTACTAATAAAGCATGATAGTGATCGTATTGTAGCCCAGTATGTACGTGGTCGTCTAACTGAAACACAAAAGCATGATACCAGATTTTGCATGCCCAAAAACCCGTGGTACATACATTTGTCGTCATCCACACTGACTTTACCCAAGACATGCGTGTGTGTACATACATACCAGATGTCGTGGGTTTGCTGTACTCACTACATACCAGATTGTACACCAAACAGTGTCGTAGGTTTTTTCGTCGTACTGATACCACGCATACGTAATAGCCCATGTTGTGGTTTTGTTGTCTCACTAGATACCACGTTGTAGCCCAGTGTCGTGGTTTTGTTGTCTCACTGATACCACGACAAGCCCAGTGTCGTGGTTTTGACTCACTGATACCACGTTATACCCAGTGATACCAAGATGTTTTTTTCGTCTTACTGATACCACGTTATAGCAGGCAGTGTCGTGGTTTTAACAATACACGCGCTCACTGATACCACGTTGTGTGCCCATGTCGTACAGGTTTGTCGTCACTCACTGATACCACACGTTGTAGCCCAGTGTCGTGGGTTTGCTGACACCAACATGAGACCAGATTTGACAGCCCATAGACACACGTGACACAGTCAATTTGTCGTCACACACTGATACCACAGTTTGTAGACCCAGTGTCTTGACACCCACAGAGACAAACACAGCATTTGCTGTCTCACTGATACAGATGTAGTAG